GCTCTAGCTGTAAAATCTTAACGTATACGAATTTAAACAAAATTAAGTAAGTCCAATGCTAATGCCATCTCAGTGCTTCCTTCACTCTGAACTCGTCTTACCTCTTCACTGATACATGGTGCGAATCACGCAAAAGAATCTGTAGGTCATTTGCAGGAACTGAAAGTAAATAAAATCAGAATGCAATAGCCTAAAAACTCCTTATGATCCCCCAACCATTGTCATAGTCTGCATTGAAACATCTAGGAACACAGTGGCCCTGAGGCAAACGGGTCGCTGGGCACGTTGAGCAATGATGATGAGCATTTTATTGAATCGTTTATCAGCATCAGGCCAGTTCATATTATAGACAGCATCGGAGACCGAGACACTCTGCAGAGTAATACCACTCAGTATAATATTATATTATATATCGGAATATAAAATAAAATATATAATATTAGAATATATGTATATCTATATAAGAATTTAACTTACGGCATTTACAAGCTCATCGCTAAAGTAGCATATCAAATAGATCTCGGCCATTTCCGCCACTAAGAGAACCGCCAGCTTGCAGACGACATCGACACTCAGTCCGATGGTCATTTGAAAGCCCACAAAGCAGACCATCAGCGAAGAGGACATAAAGTTAAGGAGCAATGGCAAGCCAAAGACCCGATTGATGACCTCAGTCATGCTGGGAGGGATGGGTCAAGGAGTGACTACGCTTTGCTAACGTCAGCAACTCACCGGAGCAGTTGGTTGTGATAGGAGATCAGATGCCGCAGCACTTTGAGATCCTGCTGGTAGCCATCGCTGACGCGTCCTGCCTGGATGAGCAGCTCAGTGAGCTTCCTCGACAAGTAATCGTAGTGCATGATGGTCTGAATGAGCACTGCAAAGATGAGTATGTCGCTCGAGGCATGGCCCGCCGTGCACGTGTAGCCAGCCAAAGACTGCAGAGAGTACATCAGGCAGAAGCCGAATACGTTGTGCAAGCTCCAGGGCGACACAGATGTGTAGGGCATGGCCATGGAAGCGCCAGGCAACTCCTGCACATAGCGCTTGACTAGAAACTGAATAATCACAAACAGATTGTAGGTGACGATGAGCAGCAGGTAGAGGCCGGCAAAGCCCTTGGTGAGCATGCGACCACGTCGCAAGTAGCGCTCCACCTGATATTGTCGCTGGGTCTCGGCATCAGCCGAGGGAAATATGCGATCCATTTCGATCATTAAATCGTTCAATTGGTCTCTGCGCAACCAGACGGTCACCATCTTCAGTTCGCCCACGATCACGAACACAATGTAGCCCATTACCATGCAGGACTCGACGAAGTTCTCGCTGTTCTTGAACGAGATGTACACGAAGGTGCACTCCAGTCCAAACACAAAGTTCAGATTGATCACTTGAAAGAGGAAAATACCAAAGAGCCAGCGAGTCGATATTGCCGTACTGGTGGCCGAGTCATACGGATGCATGCCCAGGGTATTGTACAATACAACTGACAAGCTCATAAAGTCATCGAAAGTAATGTGATTTATTGGCTCTGCTTTCATTGTACTCGAATTTCTTTGAGATGAGCTGATTAAAGATTCTCTAGATTGTATAGAAATTATTATAAAAAAAATTAATATTACTGATTAGATTATTTCAGCTTGTTATCAGTTCTTGTAGTTGTATATGTCTGCTAACTCTGCATAGATCTTGAAGCCGGTTTTAATCGTTTTCTTTCATTTTACCTTTCATCAATTAATTTAATAAATATTTTTCAAGCTTGCGAATATTTTAAGCAAACTTTTTTATTCAACAAATTAATTTTGAAATTAGGAAATTCTTATTAAAAAGTTTGCTCTTTTTGATAAATTTGGTATGTGCCTGCAAATACCTAACCGAGTTTGAGTTTGAGGCTTAACGGCTTGGGTACCCCTAGCCTAATATGGGGAATATGGCCCTTTATCTCTTTATAAGCATAATTGTAACTGTTTACGAAAATTAAAAAATAGTATGTAATACATATTAAATAATTAGAACTAGTATTAATATATATGAAATAAGGATTTTGAATATCAAACATATCAAAAGAATCGAGTTGGAAGTTAGTTATTTAAATAACAAAATATATATTTATATTTAACTAAAGAACGTAAGAAATTAATGTTAAATAAATTTAATTAAATGCGGCTTGTTAAAAAATTCAACATATTTTGAAATATAAATCAAGCAAACTGAAATTATTATTAGATTATTTTATACCTAAAACCAATCGAATTATTTATCTGCTTATAGCTAAAAATTACAATTAATATCAGATTTACTCATCGACTAAGTTTAGTTCAAATAGCACCTTTTTTGTATTGTATGCTGAGCACCTGTGTGAATTGAAGACTAAACTCAAAATGCATTGGATTGCAACTGTTGGGCTCAGAGCTATAGTTCTACTTCGTATTATAATGGACTTTTAATTGCTTAGTTAGCGTAACATGTGATTCAACTAAAGAATTTCAAAAGGCAATTATAAATGAAAATGGAAAGGGCATAGCTCACCAAAACAAACTTTGAAAATTACTTTCTGGGACTTTTGGTTTATAAATTACTATAAAATATTAAATATACCATGATAAAAAATGTATATGTTCATCGAAATTTTTGAGGAAACGAATATTTAAGGAGATCTATATTTATACCCTGAACCCATTGAAAATGGGAAATCAGGGTATAATGGTTTTGTTAAATGTATGTAACAGGCAGAAGGAGGCGTGGCAAACCCCATAAAGTATATATATTGATCAGGGCGACGAGCTGAGTCGATTTTGCCCTGTCCGTCTGTCGGTCCGTCCGTCTGCTTGTCTGTCCGTATGTTTGAACGCGTCGATCTCAGAAGATATAAGAGCTAGAGAGTTGAATTTTTTCCTAGGTCCGTGTATACCACGCGTTTTGCTTTAAATATCGATAATTTTCCCCGTATTTTGTTATCGATTAAAAACATTATCGAAAATCAGTTTTAAAATTATATCTCCTTCATCTTTAAAGCTAGAGTTTCCAAATTTTATACGTATACTTATATGCATTTTATACAATTTCGGTTTTTGTTACCCCCACACCTAATTCACCCCCCTCACCATCACATTTGAAAAAGGCGTATTTCAAATATTAGGGACTTGTGCTTCAGCAAATACATGCTTATCTATGTTACATTCATAATCTAAAAGTTTCATGAAGATAGTCCATCCACAAGTAGAGTTATTAAACAATTAACTTACCATAGTAAGCCACCACTGCAGCCAACGCGTGTTTATGCGTGCGTGCGTATGGCTGTGTGTGCGTGTGTGTGTGTGTACATGTGTGAATAATTATTGAAATATCAGTTGCTCGAAGAGGATCTCGTAGTGGGGCAGTCTCGACTAGAGCTTTCTTACTTGCTTTATTATTATATTGATCAAATTTGACTTATCTTTATAAAAATAAAAATAAATTTTTGTTAAATATCTTGCATATTTCTTTTTTATATTTTTAAACAACATTTTTTATTTACATTTAATTTCAAAGTATTGTATGCTTTTTCTAAACAGCCATAATTAATTATAAAATGAAACTCATAATAGAAATGTTCAAAAAGCTTTAACTCTGAATAATAAAAAATTTTAATAAAAATTACATTAAATTTAAGGTGAATAAATAAAAAATTTAACAATAATAATTATATATATATTTTTTTAATTTTTATGTTATCGTATAAATAAAAATATATTATATATAAATTATTAAAATTAAAAAGAAAAAACTTTTTATTATATATTTATATATATTAATAAGTATAACAAATATTATATATAAAATATATTATAAATTATATATAATTTTATTTTTTTAATATATATATAATATAATATATCTACAAAAAATTTATTTAATCAATAATACAAATAATCAAAGAAATTGTGCTGACATTTTTATGTTTCATGTGCTTTTATTATTATTATATATATTATTTATGTGTTGATTTTCTAAATTGTTTCTTGAATATATCTCTCAGCTCATGATAAAATAATATATCTCGCTCCTGAAAATACATGCTGTCAAATAAGTTCCCGGAAATTCTCATTTTAAATTTTCCCTTTGAGAATATTTCTAAAACTATTTTTCCCAGGTTGGCACAACTGTTAGCCACTATTCTGTGAATTTTTAATGCTATGTGTCATTTAGTTGGGTTACGGCGTCATTAGAAACCAGTCAAACTTTTGTGTGCGTTGCGATTTTTACTATGGGTAAAAATATCGAATAAAGAGTTTGTGTGAAATTTTGTGTTTCAAACGAAATTTCTTATGCCAAAACGTTGGAAATGTTGAAAAAAAAACATGTCAAAAACTCAAGTTTACGTTAGGTATAAATCGTTCAAAGAGGGGCGAGAAGTGAACGATTTTCCACGTTCAGGACGACCTTTGACATCTTCAACTGAAGAACTCGTGGTGTTGTTCAATCGGAATTCTTACCGGAGGGCAAAAACCGTCAATAAAGAATATTATCTTGGCGTTATGAGGCGTTTGAGAGAGAATGTTCGTCGCAAAAGACCAGATTTGTGGTGGAACAACAGTTGGGTTTTGCACCACGGTAATGCACCAGCACACAAAGCGATCATTGTGAACGAGGTTTTGAGCAAAAACAACAAATATCATCGAACAACCACCGTACTCTCCAGATATGGCCCATTGTGACTTTTTCCTGTTCCCAAAACAAAAATATTGCCTCAGAAGGGGTCTATTTTGATGGGGATATAATAAATTTATTTGATTGATAAGTTGTTTCTGTTTTATTTGAAATTTCCGGGTACTTATTTGACAGATGTATATTGCTTATACAAATAAAATCCATTGCAAAGCTTGTGAAGAATTTTGTCCCTTTGTCTGCCTTTTGCTGTCTCTAGCGATTCATTATTGAAACAGCAAAGCCTATAAAACGATACTCTTAAAATTGATATGTAGCATTTCTTATGCTAATGGAAAATCTGTTCTTTGCAGGGCTTTGCCATTCTCTTCTGTTTTGTGCTCAAGGCGGAGAGTCAACTGCGAGGACCGCCATTCCTGAGCAGCAACGGCAGCAGCCAGAGCAGCTCGCTGAAGCAGACCAAGTTCAACACGAGCAAGACCAGCCTGGACGACAACTACTGCACGACGACGACGGCCAGCATAAATAGTCCACTGAGCTGTAAGTAGCCCCTGGCGCCATCGAGTGTCGAATGAGACGAACTCTCGATTCTCAACCGACTTGACTGACTCAACCCTCATTTGTCCATCGTTTGCAGTCTATACGAATCATGACAAGGAAAAGGAGAGCGAGTGCCTGGCCCCATCAGCAGCAGCAGGAGGCGGAACAGCAGCCGCAATGGTCGCAGCTGGGACGAGCGGAGCGGGCGCTGCGCCGCTGCAGCAGAAGCAGGGCCTGGAGCTGTCAACGACAGCCGCCGGGGCTGTGCAGCTGCCGTTGACAATCATCTCGACGGCGCCGCGCTGCCAGGCGGCCATTGTGAGCAGCACGGCGGAGACGCTGCTGGGCGGGCATCAGCAGCTGCCGCTGACGGTGGCCGCCTCGCCAGCCACGCGCTGCTGTGCTCTGCTAGGAGGCGGGGGCGGCGGGGGAGCAGGAGTCGGTGCTGGCGCTGGCATTGAGGCGCCCAGTGGCCTGGGCTATGCGTACGACGCCTACACAATGGGCGGCCTAACGGGCAGCCTGGGCAGGCGCATCCTGCACCACCATCAGCCGCACTATGCCACGGGGCCATGCGATGAATTCGTGGGCGTCGAGACGCTGGACATACTACAGGGATTGGCAGCAGGTAAGTGAGGGCGCGACGGGGCGCGACTCTTTGGTATGGCTAACCGCATCGCGCACTTGCAGACAGCATCATTGGCATACACACGGCCACGCCCCCCCACTATGTGCCGCTGCAGCACAATCCGTACGTGGACTTTGTGCCCAGCCCCATGCTGCTCAGCATGCAGGCAGGGCCGGGACCGGGACCGGGACCGGGGCCACCCACTATCAGCGGGAATCTGAGTGGAGCTGGCGCCATCCTCTCCAGCGGCACGCTGCCCACGCCAAAGACGCAGAAGCGCGTGACCATACTGGAGCCAACGTCGCGCACCACCTTCGATCCCATGCTGCCCACCATGGTGGCTGCCGTGGTGTCCACCACAACCACCACGGCCACCAGCACAGTGTCCGTGACGCCGTCCACGCAGACCGCCGGAGTGGACAGCAGCGGCAAGGGTGCGGGCGGCGATGCGACTCTGGATCGCATCAGCCACGATCTGGACTACCTGCTGAACCGCGGCTGTCTGGATGCGGCTGCAGCAACACCGCCACCATCGCCGCCGCCCGCCGAGGTGGTCAAGAAGTGCGACGAGGCGCAGCAGAGCAGCCAACTATAATGGACGCAGCCGAGCGAGGGCTCCTCGAAAACCTATCAGTGTAAATAGAGTAGTCGATCGAACTGTAAATAGCTAACTATTAGTGCTTAAATGGATAGCTCTAATTTATTTACTAAATAATTAGTTCCTTTTAGTTATTTAACAATTATGTGTATATGAATGCCATCAAAGCAAAAACAAAACAAATCAAATCGAAGCGAATCAACTCTGTAAAATGACATTCAAAATCAAACTTCAAATCATCTAAATGAATTTAAATAAAATATAAAATATATAAATAAAAAACATTTTTAGCTAGATTTACAAAATGAAAACAAAATCAACATTCTACAAAGATAAAAAATTAAATGAAATTAACCGGTTATTGTAATATTAATAAGTAAGCCTAGGCTAAATCGATGTAAGCACAACTGTGCTTCGGTTTTTTGATTCCATTTAACATTTTCCTAGACCTTAAAAACAAAACAAAAAACAAAAAAACAAAAAAAAATTAATTCTACAAACTACAATAATTGTATAACTAAAATCAAATATTACAGAACTATTTCTGCAACAACAAACAAAAACAAATTATACATACATACACAAATATATATACATATTATATATATATATATATATATATATATATATATATATATATATATATATATATATATATATATATCTTTGAATAAACTCAAGACTCTTGTTATAAAAAATCGAAAGGAAAAACAAATTTGATTTATTAATAGACATCGCCACAGCAAATCAAGTGTGAGTATATAAAATATGATTAATTTATTATTATTAATATGACTGATGTACACTATTATCATTATTATTGTTAATATTATTATTCTGTAGCTGCATCATTGCCACTAAAATCGCACCACATGCCCCACAAAGTGGGTCACGTTCTCGCCCCGTATGGCAAAGTAGAATGGATGATCCGCCCGAAAGAACTTTTGACGAGACGAATTGCTAATCACAATTGGCTTGTAGCCTAAAAAAAAAAAAAAATAAAAAATATTTAAATATACTATATGTAATACTCTCCGACACCTGAGTGGCCCTGTCTACTACACTCACCTGTTGCTGGCGGCGGCAACTCGGAGCCGGAGCCCGATTCGTTTAGGTCAATGCGCAGCTTGTGCAGCACATCGACAATTGGCTGATTGGCAACCGAATGCAGGTGCTTGAAGTTGGCAGAGTTCTCAAAGATCTCCGAGAAACCCAGCTGTAGAACGGATATTAAAGGCGAGGGTTGATTGATAGGTTAATGTAAATGAAATACAAATAAATTCAATTATCACAGAAAAAGGTAAGAGTGTTCTAGCTAGACTATAGTTGAAATATAGGATTCGCTATTTAACAATGTAGCATCAATTTTCACTTCTACGGAATGGACATGACACAAAACCAATATTCTCTTTTCCCTTTACCAATGAATATAATGCAGTATAATCCGGTTAGAACGACGCTCACGGAGTTGTCGTTATATCCGGAAGACGCTATAACCAATGAAATTAGCTAATTTGTTTTGAGACCAGAAGTTTCGTCGCAATATCTGAAAGGACGCTATAAGCGGAGTCGCTATAGCCGGTTTCTACTGTGGCTCGAAAACCAGTTTCTGGCTTGTAAATTTATATTTTGAATGATTTCTTTAAAACTTTAAAATACAATATAATCCGGTTATATCGATTCCGCTCATAGCGTCCGTCGGTTATTGCGACGAAAATTCCGGTCCCCAGGCAAGCTTATATGAGCAAACTTACACGGTTAAAGCATCTTCCGGGTATACCGACGATCCCTTGAGCGTCGTTATAACCGCACTCTACTGTATCATATAAATTGAAAATGCATAAGCCAAATACTTTTCTTCATAATAGCTGATTTACGTTAGTATATAACTAAATTTATTTCATGCAAATCGGAGTTTCCCTTGAAGAAATATAACGTTTAAAACTTTAGAGAAATGTGAGTCCTATTCAGCATGTCCACCTGATGATGCCGCAAATGATGTTCCCAGACACCCCATGCTGGATTATTTACCAAAGTGTTAATGATGATGATAATGTCAAAGCCTACATAAAGACTTCCATAACCTGTACTTCTTGAGCAACCCTCGCAACAATGAGTATTCAATTAGTTTGCCCACCTGCTTAAGCGCCTGCCGCAGACTGCACTCAAAGTTAATGGAGAACTTGGGCAGCAGCACCTGAACGCTCTCCATCTGCATGCGCTGCTGCAGTGCAGCCAGATCGACAGCTCGCAGCTGGGCCTCCAGCTGGGCCAGGGCCGAGGCGTCGCGGCTGTTGGGCAGGATTAGCAGCATGGCCAATTCGTCGGCATGCTCGTAGGGCAGCTCGATGGCACGTGCGTCAAGCTCCCGCAGCTCCGCGTACTTCACGAACATGTCGTCGTCGAAGAGCATGGGCACTGGCTTCGGCTCGCCCGTGGAGCTGTGGAACTCGTAGAGGCCGGTGCGGTAGGCGCTGAAGGGCAGAAACCATTTGCTGTGCAGGCGCGCCGCGAGCAGCAGCAGCAGCTGCTGTGCTACCTGGCTGACGTTCACCTGGAGCGGCTGCTGCCAGGTGCCGCCGCCCACGCTGGGAAGCAGATTGTCGGCGATGTAGCGGCGCAGCTTCTCGGACTGGTGCAAGTCGAGGCACTCGGCTGTTGCATGGAAATACGTTTGGGCAATCTTCTGGAAGTCATCCGCGATGCTCGCGCCGGCGCTGGCCTGCAGCAGCAAACGATTCTGCAGCTGGATACGTGTGTCCGCATCGCCCGTGGCTGCAGCCAGCTCGGCCGCATAGTAATTGGCCATCTTTGCATTGCTGGCGAAGCGTTGCTTCAGCTTCAGCAGCCGCTGCAGCTCCTCCGCCGTCGTCCCATCGGAGCCCAGGTAGAGCAGCGCCAGTGTCGCCTCCAGCAGCAGCGGCGATACAATCACATTCTCATCGGCCGCTGCGGATGCGATGCTGTGAAAGATCTCGGCGCCAAGATTGAGCTCAAGTGGAGCGCCAGACGCTGCAGGAGCAGGCGCTGCACTCATACTGACAGAGCGGTGGAAGGGGGCTGAGCAAGAGGTGAGCTGCGGAAAAAGAGAGAGAGAGGGAATATAATGAGAAGGGAATTCATTCCCATGTATATATTGTCATTTTGATTTAAGTTAGTATTAGTGAGCGACGAACACTCTCAAGAACAGCGGCTGGAGTTGCAGCTGAGAGAGCGAGAGGGAGAGCGAGAGCATGCAGTTTCCTCTTGCTGCTCTCCTCTGCTTAGTGCTTAAAACGATGAAATGGAACAGTATGAAATTGAACCCGAAGGCGTACAGAAGCATTTGTGTGGAACTCCTCGGGTTAATTTTTACTCTCGATGCAGTTGGACTGAACCGAATTACTTTAATAGCCGAACAATAACAAATATATTTATTAATGCTAATACTATGTATGTATATACAACATTTAAATTATTAACCTTTTTAATATCACTAAATAATCATGGAAATACTTTTTTGCTAGGTAAAGAAAAAATCATGAAATTAAAATTAAATAGTTAATAATACAATAATTAAAGTACCTACTATTATTAAAAAATCATGAAATTAATAATAAGCAATACAGTCTCTAAATAACAACTATTAACTACAAATTAATTTTGAAAAATATAAGAAATAAAATAAAACTTAATTTACAAAAATTTAATTTATTAAAATAACACTTCAATGAAAAAAATTGTATAAAAAAAAAAACATATATATAAAAATAACATTTCAAAACAAAAATAAAATATAAAATGAAAATATAAGATTATTTTTTTATCATGTTTCATTAAATTTAATATAATGTTTTCATTATTATTATTATTACTTGTTTTATTTCTGTTGCTATGTTTTTTCTCTTCATTTTTATATAATTTCTCTTCGTTTACTAGATTTTAAAAACAATTTAAAACGAATATATATTTAAGGGCAGCGCAATATTTTTAAACAATCCTATTAAAGCCTAATAATATATTATCATTATTATTATTATTTATTATTTCTACTTCCAATTTATATTTTCTTTATTATTATAAATTGAATATTTGATAGGGCTGATTCGTAAACGCAAATGCATAAAGTATAATTAGGCATTCTCATGTATTCAAATGCTTCATTTTGTTTTATATATATTTTACATACCCAACAATTATATATGTATAATCCTCAAATTTTCGGTTTCTCGGTATTATTATTCGTTTTTCTTAACAATGCTATTTTGTTTTTTAATTCTTAACTTCTGAGTAATTATCCACTTAGACTTCTTTGACACTTCTTGTGGCTAATGAGCCATGGCTCATTACGATTATCATATAAGGCGCTTAACCTATACCAGGCTCACGCTGCTTTAAGCTGGAATATTATGAGTCTTAAATAGCTGACCGTGGAGTCCCGCCGTTAAAAACCACATTTAACAAATTTAACTGGAATGTTTATGTTATAAAGCCTTTCATCTAGCCTTTCATTAGACCTTTAATAATATTCTTAAGCATATTGGATATGACGGACGCATAGTTGAATGGAATCGCTTAATGATAATATACTTAATCGATTGACTATACTCCGAAATATTTATTTATCATATATGCATAACTTTTTTCATTTACATCAATATAAAATATTTGGTTACTAACTATATTGATCTCCAACTGTTATATTACAAAGTTCTGTAGAAGATTTAAATTTAAAATTATTTTATCAAAATGCCTCATAGATAGCCTCATTATGATATACTCTGATAATATTATGTAAACATAAATATTCGGTTTGTAAATTATATATTTTATAATCAATAAACAATTTTATTTTCGTAGTTTGTATTCTTCAGATATGATCTTGAATGTAAATCAAAAATAGTTTACAGTACAGTGAACACACGCACATAATGGATATCAATATGTGCCCTTGCAGTCTAATGCGAAACATATGTAAAGACTTTTATTAAAATATGACTTATTTTATAGTGTTGAAATCAAAATTTTATAGCTTGGCACAAACATGTGCCGTATAGCTGGATATACAAAATATTATTAAACGGCTAAGGGAAGTACACAGAAATTTAGACTTTGTATCCGAAAGACGTATGTATATATTGCAATCGAATATTGAGCACTGTGAAATACTATTTTTATATATTTTCTCATTGTTCGAATTATAATGTACACAGATCCCAATTGGCGCTCGATGCGTTTTATTCAATTAGAAAATCTTTGGCCATGGCCTAAAAACTTCACTTCCTTATAAACATTCGATTTCCATTTCTTTCGATTTGCTACGTTTCATAGGGCAAGCAATAATTTGCACGAATTTCGAATGCTCGACTTGCGAATACCGTGAAAGTATATGAATTGTATAAAAAGTGAAAATATTTTAACACGAGTAGAGTTGCTCTGTAAAGTTCTCAAATTTGGATTACAAAATTGTAGGTTGTGTTGAGACATGATTGTCAGTTTACCAAATAAAGA